AGGGAGAGAATCAGGCAGACTCCATGTTGAGTGTGGGGCCTGTTGCAGAGCTTGATCCCAGGACCCTGAGATCATGACCTGAGCTGAAATGAAGAGTCAGATGCTTACCTCACTGAGCCACCCACATGCCCCCAAAGGTCACATTTTAATGCTAAAAGCCACAAACCCCAACTGAGATAGAATACTTAGAGACATATATTCACATATATATGTATATATACACACACATACCAAATAATATAGTGATCAACTTTATAAAACAAAACTATAGGAGATGCAAGATGCATAGCTAGGATCTCACTAACATTAGGACACTTTAATAACAGTGGTAAAAAAAATAGATAAAAGTTCTAAACAACATAATGGGCTGTGTATTACGGAGATCTATATACTTAAAATTTATAACCTGATATTAGAGAAAAGTTGATTGTATATTAGATCACAAAGAAAACATCAGTAACACCCATAAAGTAGAAAATACTATGAACAGCACTCTGTGATCACAGCATAATAAAACTGGAGTTTACTAAAAAAACAAAAACCAGGCCATTCTAGGGGCACCTGGGTGGCTTGGTCAGTTGAGTGTACGACTCTTGGTTTCTGTTCAGGGTTGTGAGATCAGGCTCCATGTTGGGTCTTACAAACGGCTGGGAGTCTGCTTGAGATTCTTTCCTTCTCCTTCTGTCCCTCCCCCCCCACGCAGGCTTGCTTACGAACACCCATTCTCTCTCTCTCTCTCAAATAAATACATAAATCTTTTTTAAAAAAATCAGACCGTTTTACCTGGAAATTTTAAAACTCATTAAATACAGGGATACCTTGGAGATCTTGTGGGGTAGTTCCAGACCACAGCAATAAAGCAAATATTGCAATAAAGCGAGTCAGATGAATTTTTTCGTTTCTCAGTGCCTATAAAAGTTACGTTTATTTTTTATTTTTACTTTTTTTCAAGATTTTATTTATTTATTAGAGAGAGAGCACAAGCAGTGGGGAGGGGCAGAGGGAGAGGGAGAAGCATATTCCCCGCTGAGCAGGAAATCCGACATGGGGCTCATTCGATCCCAGGGCTCTGGGATCATGACCTGAGCCAAAGGCAGATGCATAACCTTAACCTACTGAGCCGCCCTGGAGCCCTAAAAGTTATGTTTATACTATAGTCTGTTAAGTGTACAGTAGTTTAATGTTTAGAAAAGTATATACCTCAGGTGAGCACTTTATTGGTAAAAAATGCTAAAATTTGAGCTTTCAGTAGTTATAATCTCTGATGACAGATGTCCATAACAAATATTATAATAAAGAAAAACTTTGAAATATTGGAGAGATAAGAGTAGATAAAGAAGAAAAGCTAGCTCTGTCAATGATATGATAGTATACCTGAAAAATTCCAAAGAAATCAATGCTAAAACAAAGAAACAAGAAAAACCAGAATTTAGTGTAAGAGCAGGATACAGAATTGATATATATTTAAAAAAAATAGCCTTCATATATACAAACTAAACAATTAGAGAATATATTGGTAGGGAAAACTCCCATTGATAATAGTCAAAAAGAAGATGAAATACTTAGGAATAAATTCAACAAGAAATATGTAAAACCTAGGTAAGGAAAATTTTAAAACACTCTGGGAAGACTTGGAAAAAGACTTGAAAATATTGAAAGATGTCCTCTCTTCTTGGATAGGAATCTTAAAAATTATTATGCCATCAGCTCTTTATTTGTTTATTTATTTTAGAGAGGGAGAGCAGGGGGAGAGGGAGAGAAGCAGACTGCCTGCTGTGTGGGGTCTGACACTGGACTTGATCTCACAATTCTGAGATCGTGACCTGAGCCGAAATCTAAAGTCAGGCACTTAAATGACTGAGTCACCCAGGCACCCCCATGTCAGTTCTAAGTTAATTTATAAATTAAGAGCAATCACAGTAAAAATGCCAGATGTATTGGTTATTTTAGGAAGTTAGACAAGTTGTGATAAAGTTTATATGGACTGTATCTGGGAAAAACCCCTGGGGGGGGCTGAAGAAGATTGTAAGGTATACTAATTTTACAAGATATTAAAATATACTACAAATTCTTTGTAATTAAAACAGTGGCTACTAGCTCATGAAGAGACAACAGACCAGTGGAGTAGAAGAGAAAGCCCAGTTAGATTCTAATAATTGTGCAAATTTAGTATGATGCTATATAGAATAAATTCCAAAGGGATTAGGGATTGAAATGTAGAGAATAAAACATACACACTTTGTTATAGTGAAAGGCTTTCTAACTATGATTTAAATCCAGAGGTAATAAAACAAAGATTTGATAAAATTGACTACATAAAAATAAAAAATTTTGGATGACAAACACACCATAAACAAAAGATAGCTGCCAAACTTGGAAAAAATATGTACCACAAAAAACCAATAACCCTCATATAGAAGACCTTAAAAGTTGAGGGACAAAGACCAGAAACACAGTGGAAAAATGTGAAAAAGATAAACCAAGAGTTCACACACAAAAAAGATATAAAAATGACTCATAGACATGAGAAAGTATATTCATAATTTGAGAAATGCAAATTAAAATGACACTGAGATCCCTTTTCTCACTTATCAGACTAGCACAAATTTAAAAATATGTATTCTTTGATGAGGCCGTGAAGAAATGGGCATTTCTGTACATTGCTGATGGAAATGTAGATTGGTACAAGCCTTCTCTAGGGTGATATGGTAATGTCTGACACAAAATACATAGGTACACCTTTTCATCCGAATCAGTCCCACTTCCAGCAATCTATGCAAAAGATACACTTCCAACAATATGAAATTTACAGGGTTATTCATTGCAGCATTGTTTGTAATTGCAAAATATTTGAATTGCCCTAAATATACATGCATAGGAGAGTGTTGAACAAACTGTAGGACATCCACACAGTTGAGTGTTGTGCAGCTATACTAAAGGATGAGGAAGGATGAACGAGTAGGGTGATTTCTAGGAGATACTGTTACAGGAAAAAAGCAAAGCCCAAAAGCGTATGCTACCTTTCATGTGGAAAGTAGGTTTGCAAGTTATCAGTTTGTTGGCTCTCATCTATAAATTGACCTTTTTTGCCTGCTCTGTAAAAATGGGCCTTGGCCCTTTAAATAAATATTTATCTTTTGTCATCTGGCACAGTGTAAATGCTTTGTCAGTAAAGATGGAGAAGAAACTTTGCAAGAGGGAAGGGTTTTGCTTCCTGGTCCAGTGGGCAGTGTGTCCGGCAGCTGCAGTACCTGGCAGCCTGTAGCACCCATTACCCAGCAGCTTTCCCTGCCTCTCCTCTCCCCGTGATGCTTCTCTTGTACAGCTTTTCTTGTACCCTAGATTTCCCCAGTTCCACTGGTGGAGAACCTTAGCCACTTTCTCTGCCGTTCAGTGGGTCACAGCCATGGCCTTCCAGCAAAGTGCAGATCTCAGTCCTGGGAGGGAAGAGGAAGACTTCTTGGGTACGCTTTCTCCCCCCAAATGTTAGGGTACTCCTTATATCTGCTATTCCTATATTCTAGAGTTCTCTTCTTATGTGCTAATCTCTCATTACTCTAATCCTCTGTTAAAGTTAATCTTTGCATTAAGCTTTCTCTATTCTAATTACTGTTTAGGTCTCAGAATGATAGAAAAATTTAGGAAAATACACAGATATTTGCTTATTTGAACAAAAGAAATGGAAAGGATAAACAACTGTAGAGATTGGTTGCCTACAAGGGGTGGGTGGGAACGGGATAGGAGGTAAGGAGGGAGTACGAACCAAGTTAGTAGGGATGGAGAGGGAAGGACACTTCTTTGAGTGTGTTTATATATATATTTATAACTCTGATTCTTAGAACCATAGTGATGTTTCATCTGTCTTTTACACATCCCAAAAGCAATCAAAACCAACCAGGATGTGGTTGTGGGAACCCAAAATGGAGTTTAAAAACCAACACATGAGGGATGCCTGGGTGGCTCAGTTGGTTAAACGTCAGTCTTCCGCTCAGGTCATGGTCCCGGAGCCCTGGGATCGAGCTCCGCATCGGGCTTCCTGCTCAGCCGGGTGTCTGCTTCTCCCTCTGCCCCTCACCTTGCTTGTGTTCTCTCTTTCTCTCTCTCGCTCTTTCTGTCTCTCAAATAAATAAAATCTAAAATAAATAAAGTTAAAAAAAACACCACTAACACATGAGCCTGTGTCACAACATAACAACACTGGAGAGAATGGGGAAGAAAGAACTAACCTAAGTCCTACAAAAACGTATCTGGATTCAGTGTTACAAGAGTAAAAACAAAGAGTAACTATTCATGTTTTAGTTAGTGTTTCCCACAGGGTATAGATTAGCAATGCTGAAACTATGTGTTTTCTAGATTCAAACAATAGATAATGGGAGTGGGGTTTCTCACTTGTGGAGAAGAAAGTTACAAGGAAAGGTTAAAGGCTAAAATGAGTGATTTTTAGTTTGGGATTAGAAGTATCAGTATAAACTCATGGTTTTAAGTATATAACAGAAAAATACAGAAGTGCGGATATTTGTACATGCGTGGAATAATACACAGAAGTATGTTTTCTGCCTTTCTCTGCCGAGAGGTCTAGAAGAAGCACTGACTGCAGTAACAGTAATGCCTAGCACTTAGCTAATGGCCTCTAAACACCTGTCTTGGGCGCCTGGGTGGCTCAGTCGGTTAAGCGTCTGCCTTCAGCTCAGGTCACCCTGGGATCGAGTCCCACATCAGGCTCCCTGCTCAGCGGGGAACCTGCTTCTCCCCCTGCTCGTGCTTTCTCTCTCTCCCTCAAATAAATAAAAGCTTTTTTTTCCTTAAGATTTTATTTATTTGACAGAGAGACAGCGAGAGAGGGAACACAAGCAGGGGGGAGTGGGAGAGGGAGAAGCAGGCTTCCCGTGGAGCAGGGAGCCCAATACGGGGCTCGATCCCAGGACCCTGGGATCATGACCTGAGCCGAAGGCAGACGCTTAATGACTGAGCCACCCAGGCACCCCTAAATAAATAAAATCTTTAAAAAAAAATAAACAGCTATCTCATTGAGGCTCTTAGTAGTTGATTTCAGGACTGAGACAAGGAAGTGCAAGGTGAGCCTGGAGCTCTCGCGGTGCTAGAAAGTAAAGAAATGCTCAAAAAAAGGTTGAGGGTTTGTTGAAAGACAGGAGCCAACTCAAAGGAGCACCTAACAGCCACAGGTAGAACAGTTTGATCAATAGAATAATGATAGTATTAGATTTTAACCTACAGAATGAAATAAATACGAGTTCATATTAATATAAATGATCAAATAAATGGGAGGAGAGGGATAGGTCTTCCTCATAATACCAGTGAATAAATGTAGAAGGAGGGAAATAGAGAATTGCCCTTAGGCATATTCCACAGTAATTAGTGTTGCACACAAAATCTTTTGAATGCTAAAAACCCCGGGTGAGAAAGTGAGGAGAAACAAGATTTGCATGGTTTCAAAGTATCTTCCCCTAAATATTTAGCAAAGGAAAAGAAAGTTATCTTTCTAGTGTAGGAATTTGGCAGACAGGAACTTAACCAAAGTAAACATCACCAGTAACAAGACATGTTAATATCAACATCATGAACCTCTTGGTATGACACTGTGTGGACATCATTCTTGTCGTATTCATGCCAAAAATGCGCAGCATTACTTCAGTCATGAGGAACCAGCAGGCAGTGCAAATTCAAGGACATTCTACAAAATAACGACGTAGAGCTCTTCAGAAGTGTCAAGGTGATGAAAGACGAGGAAAACTGCCGTACTGCAGACAAATGGAGGGAATGTAGTGTAGTGTCCTACAGAGGATCCTAGAGCAGAAAAAAAAGGCATTACATTTAAAAACTTGTGAAATTCAAAAAAGACTTAGAGTTACTAATACTGTATTAATGTTAATTTTCTGATTTTGATAATTAGGATCATGTAAGGTGTTAATATAGGGAAAACGGTGAGAGATGTAAGGGGACTGTACTATTTTTACAGCTTCTTTTAGCTGTAAGTCTAAAATTAGTTCAAAATTCGTTCAAGGGATGCCTGGGTGGCTCAGTCAGTTAAGTGTCCAACTTGGTGTCAGTTCAAGTCATGATCTCAGAGTCATGAGATTGCTGGGCGTGGAGCCTGCTTTGGATTCTCTCTTCTTCTTCCTCTGCCCCTGCCTCTCTCTTTCTCAAAAAAAAAAAAAAATTAGTTCAAATAAAAGTTAAGTATTAAAGATATCTTCGAAGACCCAGTAAAGGTATTGAAGTTTGATTTTTCTTGTTCCTCTAACAGGGTTAGAAAGAAGCTTCTGGAACAGCGGGAAGAAACCATAACAATAGATCGGGTCTGCAGACAAGAAACATTTGCTTATGAGATGGTAAGAGTCTCATCTTTCTTTTTTTTCCCCTGTGAAACAGTGAAACACTCTGTCATTGGGTGTTAGTGATGACTGTAGGGTGGCTTTATATTGGATATGCTTAGCTGAAAACAAACTTAGAGAAACCTCATTGGGACTGGGAACTGGTAGGAGAAAAAGACCCACAGAACTCAAGTGATAAGAACTTAAGTGATCGGGTGGCTCAGTCATTGTGGCTCAGTCAGTTAAACGTCTGCCTTCAGCTCAGCTCATGATCCGATAGAGTCCCACCGATAGAGTCCCACCATCGGGCTCCCTGCTCCGCGGGAAGCCTGCTTCTCCCTCCCCCACTCCCCCCGCTTGTGTTCCCTCTCCCACTGTGTCTCTCTCTGTCAAATAAATAAATAAAAATCTTAATAAAAGTTTAAGTGATGGCACATTTGCCTCTTTCAGATCTCTGCCTTTATTCTTGAATTTGTTTATTTGAGAGAGAGAGCACAAGCAGGGGGAGCAGCAGAGGGAGAGGGAGAAGTAGACTCCCTGCTGAGCAGGGAACCCGATACGGGGCTCAATCCCAGGACCCTGGGATCATGACCCAAGCTTAACTGACTGAGCCACCCAAGCACCCCTTTATTTCTGCTTTTAGTTTGGTTTTGCTCTCTATATTAGGCTAAATTCATGCCTTTTCATCTCCCTATTGCTGGTACTTTTGTTCTGCTCCTGATTGTAGTTTAATCACATTCTTAATCCACCATCTCTTATGTAAACCCTCAGAAAAATTTAAGATGATAAATAATGAGGAATTAAGTGTTAGACATGATGGGTTCATTCAATACATATTCTTGAGGACCTACTGTGTGTCAGATGCTGTGTTGGTCACTTGGTAATACATAAAGGCATCTGTTTTCTCTCCCACTTATTTTTTATTGTGGTAAAATTTACATAACATAAAATTTACTATTTTAACCATTGTTAAATGTTCAGTTGAAGTAGCATTAAGTACATTCACTGTATTATGTACCTATCAGTATTTCCAGAACTTTTTCATCATCTCAAACAGAAATTCTATACTGAGTAAATAACTCCCCATTTTCCTTTCCCTCAGCCCCTGGTAACCTTTATTCTACTTTCTGTCTCTGTGAATTTGCCTGTTCTAGATACCTCATATAAGTGGAATCATGCAATATTTGTCCTTTTGTGTTCAGCTTATTTTACTTAGTATAATGTCTTAGAGGTTTTATCTGTGACTGAATAATATTTCCTTGTATGGATATACCATATTTTGTTTATCTGTTCATCTTCTGATGGCCATTTGGCTTATTTCCATTTTTTGGCTATTGTAAATAATGATGCTATGAACACCAGTAGACCGGTATCTGAGTCTGTTTTCAGTTCTTTTCAGTATATACCTGGGAGTGCAGTTGCTCAGTCATACGGTCATCTAGGTCTAACCTCTTGAGGAACCACCAGACTGTTTTCCACAGCAGCTGGGTCATTTGACAGTCCCTCTAGCGATGCGCAGAGGTTCCAGTTTCTCCACATCCTCTTCAACATTTCTTACTGTCTTTTGAGAATAGCCGTCCTAGTGGGTGTAAAATGGTATCTCATCATGATTTCAATTTGCATTTCCCAGAGGGTAAGTGATGTTGAGTATCTTTTCATGTGCCTTTTGGCCGTTTGAATGTCATCTTTGGAGAAATGTCTATTCGAGTCCTTTATTAGTTTTTTAATTGGAGTGTCCCTTTGTTGAGTCGTAAGAGTTCTTTGTATATTCTGGATACTAGACTCAGCGTATGTGTGATTTTAAAATGTTTTCTCTCGTCTACAGGTCATTTTTTTTTTATTTCTGTATTTGAGAGAGAGAGAGGATGAGAGAGAAAGCACATGAGATGGGGGGAGGGTCAGAGGGAGAAGCAGACTCCCTGCCGAGCAGGGAGCCTGATGCGGGACTCGATCCAGGGACTCCAGGATCATGACCTGAGCTGAAGGCAGTCACTTAACCAACTGAGCCACCCAGGCGCCCTACAGGTCATCTTTTCACCCCCTTGATAGTGTCCTCCGATGTACAAAAGTTTAAAATGTGATTAAGTTCACTTTATCTTTTTGTTGTTATCTGTGCTTTTGGTGTCGTACTTAAGAAAATACTGGCAAATCCATTGTAGGAATGAAGCTTTCCCCCATGTTTTCGTCTAAGAGTTTATAGTTTTAGCTCTTAGTTCAAGTCTTTGATCCATTTTGAGTTAATTTTTATATATATAAGGAAAAGGTATAACTTTATTCATTTGTATGTGGATATCCAGTTTTCCTGGCACCATTTGTTGAAGAATGGTTTTGACACCTTCGTTAGAAGTCAGTTGACCATATAAGATTTATTTCTGAGTTCTCCGTTCTATTCCATGAGTCTCCGTGTCTGTCTTATCCTCAGAAATCCTGTTTTGATTGTTATAGCTTTGTGGTCATTTTTGAAATTGGGAAATGTGAGTCTTCCAACTTTAATCTTTTTCAGGATTGTTTTGACTGTTGATGTCAAAACTCGGAATTCCCTAGGGATTTTAGGAGGGTGGTTTTATTTCTGGGTAAAAAAAAAAAAATAGAAACCCCATAGTGATTTTGATAGGGATTGACTCTGTATATGATTTGGGGTAGTGTTGTCATTTGAACATCTTCCAATCCATGAACAAGCCTTGTTGCCAGTTAATTTTGTTCAGTAACATTTTGTAGTTTTTAAGTGTAAAAGTCTTTGATTTCTTTCTTTTTTTTTTTAAGAATTTTTTATTCTCTTAAAGTAATTTCTACACCCAACATGGGGCTTGAACTCACAATCGAGAGTCACATGCTCTACCGACTGAGCCAGGCAGGCACCCCAAGTCTTTTCATTTCTATTAAGTTTATTCCTAAGTATTTTATTCCTTTTGATGATATTTTAAATGGAATTATTCTCTTAATATCTTTTGAGTTGTACACTGCTGGTTTCTAGAAATATAACTGGTTTTTGTGTGTTGATTTCATAACCTGCAACTTTGGTAAATTTATTAGCTCTAATAGGTTTTTTTGTGTGGATTCTTTAGGATTTTATACATAGAAGATCATGCCTGTCATCTGCAAACAGAAATAACTTTATCTCTTTCTAATTTGGTTGCTCATTCATTCCTTTTCCTTTCTTCCTTTTTAAATCTAATTATTCTGGCTAGAATTTCTAGTACTATGTTGAAGAGAAGTGGCAAAAGTACACATCCTTATAGTTTTTCACCATTGAGTATGATTATAGCTGTGGATTTTTTGTATATGTCCATCATCATGTTGAAGAAGTGCCCTTCTGTTCCTAGTTTATTCAGTGCCTTTATTGTGAAAGGGGATTGGATTTCCTCTATTTTTTCTGCATTTCAGTGAAATAATGATGTGGGTTTTTTCCGTCCTCTATTAGTGTGGTGTATTACATTGATTGATTTGCGTGTGTTGAACTACTCTTGCATCCTGAGGATAAACCCCGCTTGGTTGTGGAATATAATCCTTTTCATATGCTGCTGAATTTGGTTTGCTAGTATTTTGGTTTTAAAGATTATTTATTTATTTATTTGAGATAGAGCAAGAGAGAGCGAGAGCATGGGGGGAGGGGCAGAGGGAGAGGGAGAAGCAGGCTGTCTGCTGACCAGGGAGCCCCAATATGGGGCTTGATCCCAGGACTGTGAGATCATGACCTGAGCTGAAGGCAGATGCTTAACCAACTGAGCCACCCAGGTGTCCCAGTTTGCTAATATTTTGTTAGGGAGTTTTGCATTTATATTCATAAATGATACTGGCCTGTAGTTTTCTTGTGGTGTCTTTGGCTTTGGTATCAGAGTATGTTGATCTCATAGAATGAGTTAAGAAGTTAGTATTCCCTCTGGGGGTTGCCTGCATGGTTGGGCAATGCCTTGCAGTCAGGTCATGATCCCAGGGTCCTGGGATCGAGCCCTACATCGGGCTCCCTGCTCAGCAGGGAGTCTGCTTCTCCCCTCCCCCCCCACCCCCATAAATAAAATCTTAACGTATTCCCTCAGGGCGCCCGGCTGGCTCAGTTGGTAGAGCATGTGACTCTTGACCTCACTTTGGGCATAGAGCATACTTTAAAAAAAAAAAAGTATTCTCTCTTCTTCAGATTTCTTGGAAGATGTTGGGGAGGATTGATGTAATTCTTTGGTATAGTTCACCAGTGAAACAATCTAGTCCTGGGTCTGTCTTCCCTCCCTCCCTCCCTCCCTCCCTCCCTCCCTCCGTCAGTGAGAGAGGGAACACAAGTAGGGGGGAGTGGGAGAGGGAGAAGCAGGCTTCCCACCAAGCAGGGAACCCGATGTGGGACTCGATCCCATGACCTTAGTAGAAGGCAGATGGTTAACGACTGAGCCACCCAGGTGCCCCTTGGATTCATTTTGATTGTTACCTTCCTTCTGCTTATTTTGGGTTTAGTTTGCTCTTCTTTCTCCATTTCCTTAGTGTATACAGTAAGGTTATTTACTTGAGATTGTTCTTTTTTTAATGCAGATGTATACAGCTGTAAGTTTCCCTCTTTGTACTGCTTTTGCTGCATCCTATGAGTTTCTGTGTTCTGTTTTTGTTTTCATTTGTCTCAAGGTATTTTCTCATTTCCCTTGTGATTTCTTTTTTGACCCATTGGTTATTTAAGAGTGTGTTATTTAATTTCCACTAAATTTTTTAGTTTTGTTCCTATTATGATTTCTAGTTTTATTCAGTTATAAACAGAAAATATACTTTAATTGATTTTAGTACTTGCAAATTCATTAAGACTTGGTGGTCTATCTCAGAGAATTGTTCATGTGCACTTGAGAAGAATATTGTTGGATGGAGTGTTCTGTATATGTCAGTGAGATCTCATTGGTTTGTAGGTGTTATTTCCTTATTAATTTTCTGTATGGTTATTCTACTCATTATTGGAAGTGGGGTATTGAAGTTTCCACCTGTTATCATAGAACAATATATTTCTCCCTTGAATTCTGTCAGTTTTGCCTCATATATTTTGGCATTCTGTTGTTAGCAACATATGTATATAATTATTGTATCTTTTTGGATTGCACATTTTATCAGTATACAGTGTCCTTTGTCTCCTATAACCTTTTTTGACTTAAAGTCTGTTTTATCTGACAATAACATTTGGTTACTATTTGTGTGGAATATCTTTTTCCATTTTTTTACTTCCAGCCTCTTTGTGTCTTCACGTCTAAAGTGAGTCTCTTACAGAGAGTGTATAGATGATGAAATATTTTTAATCCATTCTGCCAATCTTTGCCTTTTTAATGGGAAAGTTTAGCCCATCTGTGTTAAAGTAATTACTTTATTTCTGCCATTTAGGTATCTGTATGCCATACCTATCTTTCGTTCCTTGGTTCCTCTATTATTGTCTTCTTTGGTATTTAGTTGAATTTTTATGGTGTATTTTGTTTTCCTTCTCTCCATATATATGTGTTTTACTTATTTACGTAGTGGTTACCTTGTGGATTACAATTACCATCTTAAAATTATAACAACCTAATCTTTTTTTTTTTTTAAGATTTTATTTATTGAGAGAGAGAGAATGAGATAGAGCACGAGAGGGGCGAGGGTCAGAGGGAGAAGCAGACTCCCCGCTGAGCAGGGAGCCCGATGCGGGACTCGATCCTGGGACTCCAGGATCATGACCTGAGCTGAAGGCAGTTGCCCAACCAACTGAGCCACCCAGGCGCCCATAACAACCTAATCTTTTTTTTTTTTTTAAGATTTTATTTATTTATTTGACAGAGAGAGACACAGAGAGAGAGGGAACACAAGCAGGGGGAGTGGGAGAGGGAGAAGCAGACTTCCTGCTGAGCAGGGAGCCGGATGCGGGGCTTGATCCCGGGATCCTGGGACCATGATCTGAGCCGAAGGCAGACGCTTCACGACTGAGCCACCCAGGCGCCCCAGCCTAATCTTAATAATACCAACTTTGTTTCAGTAGAAACTTCAAGGATAGATACTCTGCTTATATACATCTCTGTCCCTCTCCCTTGATGATGTTATTGTCTCATCATATCTTTATGTGTCTGTTAACATAAATTTATAAATACTGTTTTATGCATTTGTTTTTGAGAGAAAAGTTATAAACTAAAAGTATAGTAGCTTTGGCTTTTATATTTGCCTATGTAGTTATCGTTACCAGTGTTCTTTATTTCTTCTTACAGATTCAAATTACTGTCTAGTGTCTTCTCATTTCACCCTGAAGAACTCTCTTTAGCATTTCTTGTACAAAGCCTACTGGTAATGAACTCCCCCCCCTTTTTTTTTATCTGAAAATGCCTTAATTGTTTTTTCATTCCTGAAGGATAGTTTTGCCAGGCATAGAATTCTTGGTTAAAGGTGTTTTTTCTTTCCTGACTTCAGATATGTTGTCCTACCCCCAGCTCACTGAGTGCATTTAAAACAGTTGATTTAACATCTTTGACAAGTAACTTCTGTATCTGGGCTTCCTCGAGGGTGGCTTTTGTCAGATTTTTTTTTTCTTGTGACTGTGACATATCTTCTTGTTTCTTTGTGTGCTTTATGTTTTTATTGAGAACAACGAATCTGTACTGGACATTCTGAGTAAATTCTTTTACTTGTTGATTGTTGGAGCTGCGTGTACTCCTTGTTGTGTATGGTTATGGATATTTCTGTTTTATTATCTCTGTGGACAGCCAGTGACCTGTTCAAGATTTCCTTAAATGTCTGCCTCCACAAATTTAAAAAAAAAGAAAAGGCCCTGTTTCTAAATTTCCCAGTAGCTGCTGCTGTGGGAAGCCACTGCTATCAGGAGACCAAAACCCAGGCAAGTGTCTACACCAGGTCATCAGGACATTACCAGAGCAACCAAAACCACCAGTTTTGGGAGAACAAGGTCCCCATTGCTTGTCATGGCATCACCCATCTGTTCAGGAACACAGGACCCTATTTCCACATCTGTAGTGGGGCTGAGGAATGGGGGGTGGTAGTTGGTTTGCACTCCGTGCTTACTAATGAAAGATCAGCAGCTTATCCTTTCATCAAACACTTTCCTAGTTGATGTAACTGACTGATCAGGTTTCAGAATTCCAGAATAGTTGGTTCCGATCTCTCTTTCCATCTTATTAGTTGCTTTGGTGGAGGGACTGATCCCTAGAGCTGCCTACTATGCCATTTCGCGTATTGTTACTCCCTCTTATTTTTGCACCTGTACTTCTTAACTAGTCTACTCTGAGGGCTTTTATTCTATCGTTATTGTGCACACATAATAGATGTGTGAGGTATTAAAGATGTGAGAATGTTGTAAAAAGCAAGACTGTGTTGGTTTTAGAGCCAAACCGATCTACATCCAGACTTGCTGATTTACCTTGGGTAAATCTGAACCTCTGTGCATCTGTCAAATAGCTTTCGTAATATTGTGAGAGAAGGTGTGTAAAAGTGTTATTAGCAACTGTAAATGCCAGTGTTATACCAACATTAGTTGATATTCCTGTTTTATCATCAGTTGCTAAGCATTTAGTGCCAACCATTGTTAGATACTTTATGTACACATTCTCAGCAATAGTTCTGTAAAATGAGTATTCTCTTTTTTGTTTTTGTTTTGTTTTTTTACAGAAGAAACTAAAGTTTAAGAGAGGTTTTAGCAATTTTCTTAAAGTAAAATTAGGAGTCAAAGCCAGGGCTGCCTGACTCTAGCCCTTGATTACAGCTGTTGTTCCACACTGCCTCTTTGCTGAGTCACACTGTGATTTTAAGGTCTCTTACTTGTTTTTCTCCTTCAGGAGTCACATGCCATAGGAAAAAAGCCTGAAAATCCAGCAGACATGATTGAAGAAGGGGAGCTTATCCTATCTGTGAATATCTTATACCCTGTTATATTTCATAAGGTCAGTAGTAAAACCTTTTGAATTTCACAGGTAATATGGGGGACTTTTGTTAAAGGGTTTAATCATTTGAATAGTTACAACCTTTAGGGTTCAAAATAAATGCAAACATACACTGTTTTATGTAACAGTTATAATATTGGAATTTATTTGTAATTGCTGCACTGGAAGCAACTAAAAGTATATGTAAAGCCACAGTGATTGTAATTATGTGAATTCTTGCGTTTGTTTCTTAGGTGTGTTTGTTTGTTTGTTTGTTTTTTACAGAATAGGTGACTGGTAAAGGAGTAGGGTAACCCTTGTTCACCAAATCAGAATACGTGGGAAGCTGTCAAAACTAACTAAAAACAACTCTTCTTTGATGAAAATGCAGAAAGTTAACAGGAACATTCATAAATTTCTTAGAGGTCTCTGATAAAAAGAATTCTACCCTAGCCCCTAGGGTGTGTATTCTTGATTCCCCAAATAGATGTCACAAACTTTGATAAGGTTTAATTGAAATATTACTATACATGAATAGCACTTGTGAATAGTCAATAATGAATCATCTGGGATAGAGTTTTTTGTTTTTTTTTTTTTAAAGATTTAATTTTTTATTTGAGAGAGAGAGAATGAGAGATAGAGAGCACGAGAGGGAATAGGGTCAGAGGGAGAAGCAGACTCCCTGCTGAGCAGGGAGCCCGATGCGGGACTCGATCCCGGGACTCCAGGATCATGACCCGAGCCAAAGGCAGTGGCTTAACCAACTGAGCCACCCAGGCGCCCCTCATCTGGGATAGAGTTAGTACTAATTACCTTGTTTGATTAAGATCTGAAATTACTAGTCAAACCAAACCAATAAAACAGAACTCTGGGTCTATAACAGAGTAGTGTATAGATTGCTTGGAGGAAATTTTAAAACACACTGCTGCTGGGGCATCTGGGTGGCTCAGTCAGTGTAGATCGCCCAACTCTTGATCTCAGGGTTATGAATAGCCCTGGGTTGGACGTGGAGCCTACTTAATAATAAATAAAACACAGTGCTGCTAGATGAAGTTATATTCCAAAGGTTCTTGGTGATTTCATTTTAGTAGCATCTTGATTATAAACTTTAGCTTATTTTGTTTTTTTAAAGATTTTATTTATTTGACAGAGAGAGAGAGAGAGAGCACAAGCAGGGGGAGTGGCAGGCAGAGTGAGAAGCAGGCTCTCTGCCGAGCAGGGAGCCTGATGTGGGGCTTGATCCCAGGACCCTGGGATCACAACCTGAGCTGAAGGCAGACACCTAATGACTGAGCCACCCAGGCACCCCATAAACTTTAGCTTAAACTAAGAAAGTTCTGTTGCTAAGTGTCTTAGTCCCTTGTGGCCGCTGTAACAAAATACCGCTGATCGAGCGGCTTATAACCAGCAGTTTGCCTCAGTTCTGGATGTTGGCAGTCCAAGCTCGGGGTTAGCACAGGCAGGTGAGGCCCTCTTCCAGGTCACAGACCTCTCAGGGGTCCGAAGGAACTAGGCTTTCTGTGCGATCTTTTATAAGAGCACTAACCCCATTCATGAGGCTCAGCCTGCCACCTCATCACCCTCCCTCCCAGAGACCCAACCTCCGAACACTATCACTTGGGCGGTAGGATTCCAGTATCTGAATTTGGGGTGGACAAAGACATTCAGATCATAACACCAAGTGTCTCAGTTGTCTGTGGAATTCTAAGTTATGGAGGTGGCCGAGTGACTATACTAGAGGCCAATGCCATTGAGAGATGTTAATTACTTACATTTCCTGAGAGGAGCAAGTTGACCACAGCCGCAGGGCCACAGAGGAAAGCACCAGTGACAGTTGGGAACGAAAAGGAGTGAGGAGAAGCCATAGGCCACAGCCTTTATTGAGGTTTCCATGGGCAGGGCGAATGGTTCGGGCTTGGCTAGTTTGAGTAATTCCAGCGGGTTCGGGGGTCTAGGGACTGTCCCTAGTTGTCCACTACCTGACCTTACATTGATTTAGGACGAGCAAATACTGGCTTGGCATGTGAGAATGAGAACAAGGAAGTGGCTTCAGAGACCAGGCTCTGGATCACAGGGGAGATGTAAACAGTTTTGGCCATTAACTTGGCCCTGCTATTAGTGGATGCCAAATGGACAAATACAGAATCTAAGAAAACACAGAACACTAAGTTATGGGGATAACTTTAAATTAAGAAAACCAGTAACTTCATCTAGATCTGGTCAGGACAGGATTTACAGTTTACTTGCTTCGTCTCTAAGTGGACACTTATTTATTTACCATTTGAATTTTAGCACAAAGAACACAAACCATACCAGACGATGCTGGTGTTGGGCAGTCAGAAGCTCACAGAACTGAGAGATTCAATTTGCTGTGTCAGTGACCTCCAGATTGGTGGGGAATTCAGCAACACTCCTGATCAAGCTCCTGAGCACATAAGCAAAGTAAGGTGTTGTGTTTTCTTTTTTTTCTTACCCCTCATAAAACAAGAAGAAATAGTAATAGTCATAACAATAATAATAAGCTAAATAAGTAGTGATTACTCTAGCAGACTCATAAATGTTCCAGTAAATCCTTTCTCCTTTTATGCCATTCCATCAAGTTTATCTCTTCCCTTCTTTTTATCATCAAGACATTTTCAGGGGCGCCTGGGTGGCTCAGTCGTTAACCGTCTGCCTTTGGCTCAGCTCATGATCCCAGGGTCCTGGGATCGAGCCCCGCATCGGGCTCCCTGCTCCGTGGGAAGCCTGCTTCTCCCTCTCCCACTCCCCCTGCTTGTGTTCCCTCTCTTGCTGTATCTCTCTCTCAAATAAATAAAATAAATTAAAAAACGTAGGCTTCATTTTGGTGGTTCTTATAAATTCTCTTGGTCTTTCCTCAGTTTTCATGGTTTTAAATGTACTCTAATCTTTGTTCGTGTCTCTCTGTTGCCGCGTTCTCTCCTGATTTCCAAATCATTTTGACTGCCTCCCGGACATTTCCTTTTAGCCTCAGTGCTACCTGCATTTTATTTGAACTGCTACAGTCGATTCACTCTGCCCCTTTTCAGGGGAACGGTGTGATTCGTTCTGAAACTGCCTACATCTCGTGGCTTACCATCAGTGGAAAACCCTTCCTGTTTGTTTAATGGAGAAAATAAAGTTAGCAGAAAAGAACTTTCCATCACCTCTCACCTCCATATAGCCATCTGCCCGTGTACCCTGCCCTCCCACGTGGAACAGTGGCTGGACTAAAGCTGCTCCCACCTGAGGCCAGGCTGCCTGCCCATGGGATCCCCTGTCCTCACCGTGCTTGGCCTCACATCATGGTTCCTTCCATTCTGCCAGCTCTCCCTTCATTGCAGACGCGCTGTGGTCACTCCCTTCCTAAAACCTTGTCTCGACCATGCGTCTTCCCCTAGCCACCACTCAGAGTGTATAACAGCAAGTAGGAACAATAATACTCAATAATAGCCCCTAAATTCATTGTTTCTCTTTTTCTGCCGTCACCTTGTCTTGCACTCAACGTTTGTTCCCAGCACTCCTGGAAAATCACTTTTCTTGATACCACCATAGACTTGGTTCTCACCTTTTCTGACCACTCATCGGCACGTCACACCTTTGAATATTCCTTCTTCCTTGCAACATTTTCTTTACTTAGCTTTTAAGACATTACACCCACCTGATTTTCTTTCTGTCCGGCTGACTTTTAATTAATTCCTTTGCTGGATGCCTCTCATTTTCCTGACTTGTATTGTAAAGCCCTGGGTGTCAGTCCCTCAGAGCTTCCCTCTACATATCCTCCCTAGGTGATCTTAGCCAGATTCATAGCTGTCAGTACTGGGACTTCCAAAATTATATCTCCAATCTCAGCATCTTCTCTGACCTCCAGACTTCTCTATCCAGCAGTCTCCTTGACAGTTTTTTTATTTAAGTAATGTCTAACCCAATGTGGGACTCTAACTTAACAGCCCTGAGATCAGGAGTTCACATGCTCTTCTGACTGAGCCAGCCAGGTGCCCCATCCTTGACAGTTTTAATTTTTTTAATTTAATTTTTTAAATTTTTTTTAAAGAATTTATTTATGTATGTATGTATTTATTTGACACACAGGGAGAGAGGAAGAAGCAACCCCCGCACCGAGCAGGGAGCCCAATGTGGGGCTTGATCCCAGGGGATCATGACCTGAGCCGAAGGCAGATGCTTAACCGACTTAGCCACCCAGGCGCCCCAACAGCTTTTATTGGATGTCTAATAGCCATCTCAAACTTAATCTGTTCAAAAGCAGACTCTACATCTCCACCTCATTCTGTGCCTTCCTCAGTGTTCCTATCTCAGTAAATATGCCCGTTCTGAATCTGGTTACTTGGGCTAAAAACCTGGGAGTCCTCCTTGTCTCCTTTCCTCCCACACTGAAGGCATCAGCAAGAGCTCTGGCTCTACTTTGAAAATATATTCAGGCTTTGCCCCGCTCTTGCTTTCTCTGTCTCTAAGAAAAATAAAAAATAAATCTTTAAAAAAAATTAATAGTTTTCAAAAATAAAAAGAAATTGATCCTGTCCTTCTCCAGTTTAAAAATCTCAGTGGATCTCTGTAGGCTGACATATAAGGCCTTTTGTAATGATGACTTCCAAGTTAACTTTCCATACTATCCACCCCTACTTCTGCATCTTATGCTTCAGCCACAGATAATTTGTTGCTCAAGCCTAACACTTTTTCATGCCTCCGAATGTCTGAACATGGTAGGAAGCCCTTTCCCTCCCTCCATCCATCCGGTTCATACTCATATTTCCAAACCCAGCTTTAAACTCACTTATTACATAAAATTTTTCCTGACTGACCTCTCTTTGCCACTCTGGCACCATTTCGTCTAGCTATTACAGTGCCTATAATAATCGGCTGGTGCTATTTGATAACGTCTCTCTGCCCCACAGGGCGGGCTGTGTTCTAGTCCTTTTGGTGACTGGCAAGGAGACCAGCGTCCTATGACTCACATGTCGATTTCACTTAGTTTTCTAGTTACACCAAAATGGTTTTAAGATAATTGGTTTCTTCAGGTTTGGCATCTCGGTGCTCTTGGAAATAAACATTAAAGAGAAACATGGAATTTCAAGGCTGTGTGCAGACCAGGAAATAAAAATTTATCTTTTAAAGGAGAAGCAGGAATCTTCTGCTGTTTCTCTACCCTACCAAAAAAAAAAGTGTAATTATAAAGTTTTTATAAATTCACTTTGATAAGCAAAATCTGAATTCACTCTGATGGCAATCATGTTTTCACTGCTCAAGGCAATTGGAGTCAGATCTGGGAATGAGTCTTAGTGCCAGGACCCTGGTTTTTGTTTTTGTTTTTTTTAAGATCTTATTTATTTATTTGACAGAGAGAGCAGGAACACAGGCAGGGGGAGTGGGAGAGGGAGAAGCAGGCTTCCCGCTGAATAGGGAGCCCAATGCGGGGCTCGATCCCAGGACCCTGGGATCATGACCTGAGCTGAAGGCAGACGCTTAACGACTGAGCCACCCGGGCCCCCCCCCCCCCCCCACCGAAAGGGTTTTTAACCAGGCGTGGCTAGTTCGTTGTGTTTGTACATCAGTGCTGATGCGTTCAGCAGCTTTCTAAGCAGGGGGTTGGATGACCCATCGTCCTATTTTAAATACTTAACACACGTGCAGTTGTATTGTTTCTGCCTCTTCCGTCTCTTTATTAAAATAATATCCTCTGGGGGCACCTGGTTAATTAAGCGTCTGCCTTTGGCTCAGGTCATGATCACAGGGTCCTGGGATCGAACCCAGCATTGGGCTCCCTGCTTGGTGGGGGGCCTGCTTCTCCCTCTGCCTGCCGCTCCCCCTGCTTTGTGCTCTCTCTGACAAATAAAATCTTAAAAAAAAAATAGGGTGCCTGGGTGAAAAAAAAAAATAATAGGGTGCCTGGGTGGCTCAGTTGGTTAAGTGACTGCCTTCGGCTCAGGTCATGATCCTGGAGTCCCGGGATCGAGTCCCACATCGGGCTCCCTGCTCAGCGGAGAGTCTACTTCTCCCTCTGACCCTCCCCCCTCTCATGCTCTATCTCATTCTCTCTCTCAGATAAATAAATAAAGTCTTAAAGAAAAAATATCCTCTGATTATTGAGCACTTACCATGTGCTAGACAGAAGTACGCTTTGGACAGAATTATCGCTGTTTGAAAGATACGAGGAAGTTGGCTCAGAGCGCTGTCATGCATTGCCTGTGTTTGGTAAGCAGAGTGGAGGCTGCATTCAGACCGTTGTCAGCTTGCCTTCCAAGCCCCACATTCTTGTTTGCTGTGTTGGCACGACGCCAGGCGTGAGGGTCTTTCCCCGCCTTTTTGTTTCCTTGCTGAATAGGCAGTGAGTGAAAACTCGGGCTGTGCTGAGAGTCGCAGCAGCTTCTAAACACATGGCCTCTGGAATCTCTGCTAACATTTGACCTATGGAAAGATTTTTATTTCACTGATTGGCATTTGTATTTTATGGTTTCGTTTTCTTTTTAATTTTTGCTTTGGAGTTTTTTTTTCCCTGTTTGTCTGAGTCGTCTTTCTTGATGAGTCTGGTCCCTTGGAAAATTCTGACCATACATGCAAGAAATAGTATGAGTCCTTATGTACCCATTACCCACCTTCACCAATTCTCAGCATTTTGCCAAATTACTATTATTATTAAAGCTTTTATTTATTAGAGACACAGCGAGAGAGGGAACCACAAGCAGGGGAGTGGGAGAGGGACAAGCAGGCTTCCTGCTGAGCAGGGAGCCTGATGCAGGGCTTGATCCCGGGACCCTGGGATCATGACCTGAGCCAAAGGCAGACATTTAACCAACTGAGCCACCCAGGCGCCCCTTGCCAAATTATTTTTATCTGTTTACCTCATGCCGTTGTCAAACTTAACAAAATTGAGAATTGATCTGTAAGTTAATGCTTTTTTGGACAGATATTTGGCGTGTATTCCACTGGTAATCATGGGAAAAAAAATCAGTGAGTTGCGGTTCTTGTAGCTGAGGAAAGGAGAATCTTTATTTCAACCAATAAGCAAGAATTTTGAATATTAACTTAGATGACTTTAGTATGTGAGAAGACTGGGAGCATTGAGCCAGTATATTTCAATCTATTTTAAAAGCTTATATCTAAAACATAATATGTTTTGCTAGCATTTGTTTTTTGGACTATAGTTGTTAAAGAATGGAGTGCATTTTTTTTTAAATATGTGTATAAGATCAGGCCAGTATTTTCTACTCAAGTGTTATTTTGTTTTGTTTTTTTTAATGACCCCTCACATTTTAATATGTGGTCTACTTTTAACATTTAACAGATTAGTTTTTTGTTTTTTTCTTTTTTGTCAGTAATCTCTTAAGGGTCTTGCTTAGAGGAACTTAAAAAAATACTTGGCACATATTGCTGTTACTTATTATAAATAAAGCCCTGGTGTAAGACAAAGAGCTTCTTCAGCATCTCTCCCATTACCATTTTCTCACAGCAGATCCTAGGAATACTTCTGAAAAAAATTTAAGATTTTATTTATTTGAGAGAGAAAGAGCAGAAGCTGTGGGGAGGGGCGGAGGGAGAGGGAGAAGCAGACTCCCTCGCTGAGCAAGGGAGCCCGATGCCGGGCTCCATCCCAGGACCTTGGGATCACGACCTGAGCCAAAGGCAGATGTTCAACCAGCTGAGCCACCCAGGTGCCCTATTTCTGAAATTCTAATATAGCTGATTTGAATGTTAGCAAGAGAACAAACTACTGATGCCTAAAATTATATATAAATGACTTTATTCACATGATCCTGTTAGTTCTCGATAGTTACTTTGTTTATAAAGTGGAAATAGTACCAGTAGACTCTGGGGCTACATTAGGTACATAACAGAAGTAACTTCTTACACTAGGTTTTCCATTTTGGTTGACGATCCTCCCCTCCCCAGGGTTGGTCAGCTAAAATAGCTGACAAAATAGGGAAACTAGTAGTGAGGATCTCTGGTTGCCACTGAAAATCAAAATTACCTGGTTTTGAGGTTGCTCACATCTTCTGTTCTATTTGTAGCCTGACACAAGGAAAAGTTATTAATGGATGACTTCAGATTTAGATGCAAAACAGTTCCCCTTCTAAATAATTATGCCAACCAAAAGCATTAAGTTCCCTAAATCACCTCAAGTTCTGTAGGAGCATTTTTTTTAAAAAAAAGATTTATTTATTTGACACAGAGAGAGACACAGTGAGAGAGGGAACACAAGCAGGGGGAGGGGCAGAGGGAGAAGCAGGCTTCCCGCGGAGCAGGGAGCCCAATGCAGGGCTCGATCCCAGGACCCTGGGATTATGACCTGAGCCGAAGGCATACGCTTAACAACTGAGCCACCCAGGCACCCTGTAGAAGCATTTTGTAATGAAAAAATGGAACTTTTGTTTTTATTTCCAAAATAAGGCAGTATTCTTTCAGAACCTTTATTTTAGATCCTAGCTTACCTCTTTGAGGGTCCAGAAGTATATTCAGTGGCAGTTTTTGTGTTAGCAGCTAGATACAGCATTCTAGTACATATTATCCTTTTGTCTCTACAAGTACCTGGGAAGGAGGTAATGGCTTGTACCCCTATGTTATGTGAAGAAACAGGGTCAGGGAAATTGAGGGACGGCCCAACGAGAAACTAGCACAGCTAGTCTCATAAGGGTGTCTGATGCCATTGCCCGATAATATGTAAATGAGGGAATGAAGAAAGAAAAATAGAAGCTTCGAAGGAGATAAATTTGGTTATTTTAGAGTAAGATTTTTTTAATACCTGAAACTTACATATCTTTCATAGTTCATAAACTGCTTTGGGGTTTTGCAGTCCTGTAAGATAGTGTGACAGATATACAGGTGAGGAATCCAAAGTCTGAGGAGTACTTATATATAGATTAAGAAAAAGAACACAGGTCTTCTCACTCTCCCCCAGGGGTCTGATTGTAAGGATATTTTGAAGAGCAAGTCTAACAGAGTGCCTCTCAGCACTGCTGGCCCATTTGAATCTCCTGGGGAGCTTGGGAAAACATTAGTGCCTGGGCCACATCCTGAGAGATTCTCATTTAATGACTCTGAGGTGAGACTTGGTCTTTTGGTGTTTCTAGGATTCTGTTATGCAGTGAGGATCAAGAGACACCCCTCTGGAAAGTCTGGTAGGCTGAAAGTTAAGAAACCTGACGATGGTTCAGACCAGTTGTGTGACTACTATGGTCCTCTGGGGCAAGACTGCTTGAGTAAGGGGACGCCTGGGTGGCTCACTCGGTTAAGTGTCTGTCTTCGGCTGACATCATGATCCCAGAGTCCTGGGATCGAGTCCCACATCGGGCTCCCTGCTCAGCGGGGAGTCTGCTTCTCCCTCTGCCCTTCACCCTGCTCATGCTATCTCTCAAATAAATAAAATCTTAAAAAAAAAAAAGACTGCAGAGTAAGAATAGATATTCAAATTCTGCCTAAGAATTATTGAAAATTTGAAGGGAGAATTTTTATAAAAGTACACTGAGGGCGCCTGGATGGTACAGTTGGTTGAGCATCCTAATCTTGGTTTCGGATAGTGATCTCAGGGCCGTGGGATCGAGCCCAGCATTGGTCTCCACGCTCAGTGTGGAGCCTGTTGGAGAGTCTCTCTCCTGATGCCCCTCCTGCTTGTGCTCTCTTTCAAATAATCTTTAAAAAAAAAAAAAGTACACTGGGTGCGTGGGTGGCTCAGTCGTTGGGCGTCTGCCTTCAGCTCAGGTCATGATCCCAGGGTCCTGGGATCGAGTCCCACATCGGGCTCCCTGCTCAGCGGGAAGCCTGCTTCTCCCTCTCCCACACTCCCTGCTTGTGTTCCCTCTCTTGCTGTCTCTCTCTCTGTTAAAAAATAAATTAAAAAAATCTTTAAAAAAAAAAAACTACACTGAGGGGCACCTGGGTGGCTCAGTCTGTTAAGCATCTGCCTTCGGCTCCCGTCATGATCCCAGGGTCCTAGGATCCATCTCCACATCGGGCTCCCTGCTCAGCCGGAAGTCTGCTTCTCCCTCTCCCTGCTCCTGCTCTCTTTCGCTATCTCTGTTTCTCTCTCACATAAATAAATAAATCTTTTTTTAAAAGTATGCTGAAAATATTAAAAAACAACAAAAACATAACTAATCACTTATCGCTGGGGAAATATCAAAGATGTGACTTTTGGTTTTTACTTCTAGTATCCAGAATAACTCACTGCTGTGTATTCATATAATAAAATAATATTGTTTATTTCATTTCTAATTAGGTTCCTTTCACACGTCTCAGAATACACGAATTTAAATCAGACCTAGTGATTAAAACAGCAATAGGATAACATTGAAAATAGCAGCAAGGATCAGATGTTTACACTTTCATGCCTGTAAATAGCATAATACTTGTCACATAGGTTCCCATTAAATAGTAAACAAATTAATGAGCTGAGCATATTTTGTGAGGTTGCATAAAGTTACTATAAAGCATATTAGTGTGGTTTTATGACCTATAGATTTTGAATTGGTAGCAATTTCCTAATTATTAATAGAGGACTCTCTTTCAATGCCATCTATTTCCTTATAGGACCTGTACAAATCAGCCTTCTTTTATTTTGAAGGGACATTTTACAATGATAAAAGATACCCCGAGTGCAGAGATTTGAGCAGGTACAGTTTTCAAAAATCTTCTCAGTTTTTCCTGTTTCTAGTTCTTGAAATAGTGAGATCTCCACAAATCCTATTACTGGTCCATTAAGGGTCTTTGCTAAGGAATTGTTTTGTTAGACTGGTTTGTTTTGGGGTCAGAAATACCAGTTTTTTAAAATATATTCAGTTATTTCATCTGGTTGGCCTAGGTATTAGTAAGTTAATCAAAATTTTTTTACTTCAGAAAGAAAATTTTCCTATCAAAGATCTACAGACTATTTCAAAATCTTCGTGTTATCTACCGTCTTAGAAATTCCAGCAAATCTTGGGGCACTTGGCTGGCTCAGTCAGTAGCAACTCTTGATCTCGGGGGGTCGTGAGTTTGAGCCCCATGTTGGGTGTGGAGCCTACTTTAAAAAAACAAAAAAAATTCTAGCAGATCTTGTATTGAGCCATAGATACGTCTAAGAAACTTTAAATCCCACTTAAACACTTTATTAGTCTCTTTCATATTTAGGTGATAGCAATAAATTAATCTGTTTTTTCTGCTTTTCCAGTATATACTGTTGTTTGCCCTAGATGAGTATGTTAAATATATGGTTAAGTATGTAACATGGAAAATCTATAGCTCATAGTCATGTTAATTAGCCCATACTTTGACTATCAGTGTCTTAGCAACTAGAATATATATGTATATTGTTTGGCAATATACATATATTGCCAAATATATGTATTTGAGTGTTTATATACATTCTCTTTAATTTTAGCCATTTGTATCTGTATTCTAATGTAGCAGTTCTCAAACTTGCTGCTTTCATCATTCCTTTATACTATAATTGAGTCTAAAGAACTTTATGTGGGCTTTAGCTATCAGTATTTACCATATTAGAAATTGAAACTAAGAAATATTTTAAATATTAATTAATTTAATCCCATTACATGTTAACATTAGTAATTCTGTTTTCCAGAACAGAATGAGGCGGATGTCATTGTTCTACATTTTCCATTCAGTCTGAAATGATAAAACACATCATGTAGCCTTTAGAATACTGGTCATTTATGAGAGATTGGGAGTTGAAAAGGGCAAATGACATTTAATCACAAAGATCATTTTGACTTCCAGAACCACACTTTGAGAACTGTTGCTCTAATGGATAAAGACACATTCAGAGTTCTTAATTTCTACATGTGTCAGCCACTAAGATTTTCTCCTCAAGGTGGCAACTGTCCGGTTATATTGAGTGAGCCAGGCTTTATGAAATACTTGCAGTCACAAACCGTTTTCTGTCATTTTTAGGTTTTTGTGGCATAATGAAATATCCTTGTCTTTCCCCCCCTTCAGAACTATCATTGAATGGTCAGAGTCCCATGACAGAGGCTATGGAAAATTTCAGACTGCTAAAATGGAAGATTTCACCTTCAACGACCTGTATATTAAACTGGGTTTTCCTTACTTATATTGTCACCAGGGAGACTGTGAGCATGTTGTTGTCATTACTGACATAAGGTAAGTGGCAGCACTCAGAACATTGTATTTGTTCTGTTTTCCTTTTCTTTATTTCACAGTATAAAAGCACAGGCAGTTTGGTTTTGTTTTTACACTGCAGCTTGGCTTGGGAGCAGCAAAATCATGTTTGCTCTCCATGGATTGACCAACTCTTCATCCGTTTATATTCTGTCTTTATTTTGGGGAGTAGCTATAATAGAAATACTTTTATTAGAGGGTTAAAAATCTGTAAGTGTCTCCATTTGTATATCAGGCAGGCAGTAGCCATCCACTTTGGATATCACTTTGTATATCCTATCACGCCTTTGCTTAGCAAATTTGCAACTGTGTATCTAGGTTTCTTGTCTCTTTGCCAGAATTTTAAGGAGATCAAAGGGAACTAGGGGAAGAGAAGGGTAATTCTAGTATTTGACAAATGTGAAGTCTTAATGCTTTCATCAAGTATAAAGTGAGAAGGACTAGTTTAAAATGAGATTTTGTTATAATTTTGTATAGCTTGGGTGTCTCTCATAAGGCTCTTCCTTATTTAGGAAATCTCAATTTGTGCAGGATCAATATATAGGAATAAGCCCTATTCCATCCCTGCTTTAATTCCGAGAGACCATTTTTATGTTTTTTGTGTGTGTGTGTGTGTGTGTGTGTGTGTGTGTGTGTGTGTGTGTGGAGTAGTGATACACCCAGGCTTTTTATTATACCAGTGTAGGAACTGATGCCTTCAGAAAGTCCCTGCCTCCACTTTTCTTGGATCTTAGTGACCAGTCTCCAAAATTCTGCCTGGCATGCACTTATTCTCAGGAGGTTTCCCGAGGAAGGACTTCGTACTTACTGCTTAGGAAACCTTGAAGTAGAAAAACACGAATGCAGGGGCACCTGGGTGGCTCAGTTGGTTAAGCGTCTGCCTTCGGCTCAGGTCATGGTCCCGGGGTCCTGGGATCGAGCCCTGAGTCGGGGTCCTTGCTCAACGGGGAGTCTGCTTCTCCCTCTGCCAACCGCTGTCCCTGCTTGTGCTCTTTTTCTCTGACAAATAAAATCTTAAAAAAAAAAGAAAAGAAAAAAACCCATGACTGCAAAAGCAGAAGAGATAATGCTGGTAAAGGGAAATTCCATAATGATGGCCATCTAGCAATTTGTCCCGAGACTGGAGCACAGCAGAGAACTCAGGAAGGTGTCTAGAACTGCCAGGTGTCCTGCTGGTGCATAAACACTTGGAGAGTATGCTTCTCATTCTGTCAGGAAGTACAGAACTGAATTAGCGACAGGTACACGGCAACCTAAGCAGATGCGAACCTGAGAGAAGTCGTTAGCTGGCAGCCTCTGGCTCGTAGCTGGAAAACCGTGTGTTACACAGTAAAAGGAACCTGCAGTCGGTTGTGGAGTTGAGGTGTAAGTAGTAATATTAATTTGGCATCATGTAAACATTAAATATTTAACCAAAGTTATTTTGGTTCTGTAGAGGGATGTTGAGGAGGTAAATTTAAAAGAAACAGTTAAGTATGCAAAACAGTGGCCCTTAGGGAAGAAGATTGGCTGAAGCAAAGGGCCAGGGGGTCAGGAGAGCTCATAAACCCCAGTTTTGTAGGACTTAAAATTAGATATTTTTCTTTGATAATTTTATATAAGCTATTCTGCCTGCTCTTTCCCTGAGGGGAACGTGCCTGAGAATTAGCATAATAAGATGGGAGACAAGCCACTTTCCTCTGATTTTAGTTTAACATTTCTTACTGTATGGCAGTGTCAGTCCTTAAACTCCAGGCAACGTGGGAAAACAACACTTATTAAACATTTGCAGCGTGGGATGTTCCTAAGGAATTTTTAGTTTCAGCTTTTTAAAAAAGATTTTTTAGTTTCACTTTTTAAGAGTTTATTTTTAAGCAGTCCCTACACCCAGTGTGGGGCTTGAACCCACAACCCCCAAGACTAAGAGTCACATGGTCTACTGACTGAGTCAGGTGGGCGCCCTTTAAAGAATTTTTAAATATAATTTGGACTACAAGTCATTTTTTACAAAAGATTTTATTATTTGAGAGAGAGAGCGGGCACATGAGCGGGGGCGGGGGCAGAGGCAGAGGGAGAAGCAAGCTTCCCGCTCAGCGGGGCTCGATCCCAGGACCCCAGGATCATGACCTGAGCCGAAGGCAGATGCTGAACCGACTGAGCCACCCAGGTGCCCCTAGACTACAAGTCATTTTTATCTTCTAGGTGGATTTAATCATTCAGTGCCATACTATAGTCTAATAGTTGGTAAGCTGGGGCGCCTGGGTGGCTCAGTCGTTAAGTGTCTGCCTTCAGCTCAGATTGTGATCCCGGGGTCCTAGGATCGAGCCCTGCATCGGGCTCCGTCCTCGGTGGGAAGCCTGCTTCTCCCTCTCCCGCTCCCTCCTGCTTGTGTTCCCTCTCTCGCTGTATCTCTGTCAAGTAAATAAAATCTTAAAAAAAAACTAGTAATAGTTGGTAAGCTTACAAGTTTTATTAATCATTTTCTGATATGAAGTTGATATATTGCTACCCTTACTAAAGGACAAAAAGAAAGAATCGAATTTTTAAAATGGTCATGGACCTTTAGAACACTCTAGTGTAGTCCCTTTTTTGGATGAAGAATCTAAGGTCCAGCATGGTTAAGGAATTTACTCACACCCAGTCAGCTGATTAGTGGCATAGTAGAGACTGACTTCCATTTACAATTTACGAATTCTGACACCTAAAACTAGAGTCCTCTATCAGTTCACATTATACCAGGAGTACGATTTAGATTTTAATAAAGAGGATGGTAAACAAGAGCCACGTAACATATAACCAAATAGATAAAATAGTTGCTCAAACTGTGTTTCATAAGAAGGTATTAAGTGTTGAGTAAAGCAAGGGCTCTCTGATGGAATACATTCAAGATCTGCTGCACATAGATCTCCCTCTTAAAGAGTCACAGAACACATTACCGTAAAATGCTTTGGGAAGTTTCATAGGAAAGAAAACATTGTTTAATCCCAAATGATCTTTAGGAGAGTGTTTCTGTAGAACACAGGTCAGACCTTGTTTATACCTAAGTCTTTCATAAGAAAAAAATTGAAAAATATACCTACTGTGTTCTTAATGTTGAGGTACAGATATATTTCTTTACAGATCACAATTTGCATTTTTTTAACAATTTGCATTTTAATATTTTCGTTTACGTCTCATGTACACAAAGGCTTGCGCATTGTGATGACTGCTTGGATAGGACACTTTATCCCCTTCTTATCAAGAAGCATTGGCTGTGGACCAGAAAATGTTTTGTTTGTAAAATGTACACAGCCAGGTAAGCGATAGGTATTTTTTTCTTCAAGAATTACTGGTTTTCAATAGTGAAATACTTTCGATTTTTGGTATTTCAGTGTTTCCTATTTTGATTTGAACCTGAGAACTTAACTTTGGGGGTATAAATAATAGAAATGGTTTTATCTAGTAGGTAAGTGCTGCAGAGTAGGTTACATTTAAACAGTAAGGAAATGAATTCTATGTAGTGGAAGTCCAGAATTGGGTCAGACTTTGGATGAGTCAATACTCAGTGTCATCAGGGAGCCGTGTCGTCTTTTCCTCTGCAGTTTACAAAATCAGCTTCATCCACGGCTCCTCCATGTAAAAATAACAGCATTCAATATATGTATAATGAGGTCAAAATATGGTTCCATAAAATTTTTACTTTGTGACACTTCACACTTAGTTAACTGTGGATCAGAGTCAAAAAACTCAGAGGAAAAGAGAATAATTGCTTATCAGATTGGGGGGGGTTCTCCCCGCCCCCCCAGTAGGCTTCTCTAAATGGTAAGTAGGAAAACATGATAAATCAGTTATCAAACTGGAAATCAGGGAATGTTAAAATAGACCATGAGATGCAGATTCAAATAGATTGAAAACCAGTCTTTGATCTTCCCGAAACCAGTACATCTCAGGCCAAAAAACAAAAGTATCAGTTGATTGTTGCCCATATTCCAGTTTGTATACACTCTGTAACATTTTATCCTGAATTCTAGGTAAAACACCTGGAGTTTTCAAATTAGCCAGGACTAATTTACCAGTTAAAAAGATAAGTTACACAAAAGTTCATCAGGTCTGTAGCATCTAATATATATTATGGTTTTTCAAGATGGCCTATTACATTTTAACAGTTACTTGGGAGGATAGGTTAGTCATATCAAAAGTGCAGAATGCTTTCTTGTATGGATTTATATTTTTCTCTACTTACCTTCAAGAAGTCTTTCAGAGAAACAGCACTCTGCAGGGTTTCTGTTAGTTGCCCTTTTGCCTTGCAGAGTATTGGTAGTGATATGTCTGTATCTATATGCACAGACAAGATTGTATAAAGGATTACGGTACATTAAGACAGGATAAGGCAATAGTGGGAATGTTATGTTTACACATTACTACAGGTCCTAACACATTAAAGCTTGAGAAAGTTGACTGTAATGATGTACAATTTTTTTTTTGATTACAGATGGGTGACGAACAACGACAGTTTTGCACCAGAGGACCCATGTTTCTTTTGTGATGTTTGCTTTCGGATGCTCCACTATGATTCAGAAGGCAACAAACTAGGAGAATTCCTTGCTTATCCTTATGTTGATCCTGGAACCTTTAACTAATAATAACAAAAAATGTACCTTGTGAAGTTACTGTCCTCTTGGATGGTTACTTTATTTCCAGAACATGCCACTGAGGAACAGGATCCCCCTGAAATAATCAGCTAGTTACCCACGCCCCTGCAAAAGTTGACATCACAGGTCTTTTTTTTTTTTTTTTAAATCACAGGTTTTCTTATAAAGTACCTTGTGTTTAGAAATCTTTTAGTATTTATTTCAAAATGGGGTTTTTATTTAGTGTGCCCATTTTTAAGTATGTTTATCATACTAAGTTGTAGGAGTACTTTATATTTTTTTGAATACAAATCCTGTCAGATTCAAGTATTCTGGTTTTTAGCCAGTCTGTGGCTTGCCTAAATCATTCTGTGTCCAGAGTACTTTTTGCTAATCTATAATTAGAAAAATTCAGTTAATCATACATCAACTGGTGGAAGTGTTTTGAAAATTCTTTGAAGAATGTGAGCGCTATACCTTGTACCATAAGGCTTCCAAGGTAAAGATCCCTTAAATATCCGTGATAAAAATGAGGGAGAAGAATAAAAGTAGATTTAACAAATACAGTATTAAGAATAGCTATTCTGTAATCTGATCCCACGGTGGGCTCTTTTGTAATATTAGGTTTGGTTTTGGTAGAAACTAGCAAGCATACTAATCATTTTAATGAGACTCACTGCATGAATAATGAATGTAAAAAGATCTTTCAGTACATATAGACTCATACCTTCACAAAAGTAATGTTTAAATTGAAGATTCATTTCTTGATGAGAACTTTTTCAGTTTAATTTTATAATTGAAATAGATTTTGGGGCACCTGGCTGGCTCAGTTGGTAGAGCATGCAACTCTTGATCTCAGGGTTTTAAGTTTGAGCCCCACACTGGGTGTAGAGATTACTTAAAAATCTTAAAAAGGAAAGAAAAATAACAGGACCACTGGGACATGGGAAGTCAAGATCGTGTGGATCGCTAGCTCTGGTTCACTCATTCTTGCACAATAACACCCAGTATTCTATATGCAAAAACAAGAGTTTTTCTGGCCCAACTCTTCCATTCCTCCAGCTCCCTCACCCTGACAACCCTGTTTATTCACATCTCTCATTCTGGGCAAAAGGACACCTTAGATGAATTCCAAGGTCTAGATCATCACAGAAAATTACAGCTATCTATATTGAAATGTTTTCCTCAAATCCTTTTTGGTGGAAAATTTAGTTTTAAGACTTTTAAGAATGCTGTAAAATAGTTCCTTTTAGATGTGTCATTATATAAATTCCACTTTCTCTCTCCTAGGTTATTTATTTAAATTCAGCTGAGTTCCACATTCCCTGGATGGCTAAGAACAGACATTTACCATACAAATCAAAAACTGATGAAGCCTTTAAGCCTCTATGTTTAAAAGCTTGGCAGTGAAATGTTTTATGGACTTAGATTACATATCCAATTAAGTTGATTGGTGTGCTGAGGACAAGCACCTGTTTCTGGTATGTGTAGTGATGGTCTCATTCACTGATTCAGTAAATATACCAGAGGATCAGTAAAAAGAAGAGGTGTCTCCCCTGGCTGGCTTATGTTACTGTCTGAATTTTTACTTTCGTGTTTCTAATGATGCTAAATTGAACAGATTAAAAATTCTGCTAGAAAACCATGTTTACCCAATTCCTATAAGTTCTACAGGTAAAAATGTATTTCTCTTTTTAAAAGATTTTTTTTTTCTTTAGAGAGCGAGTGAGCGTGCGGGGAGAGGGGCAGAGGGAGAGAATCCTAAGCAGACTGATTCCAACACAGAATGCAATTCCATGACCCCGAGATCATGACCTGAGGCAAAATCAAGAGTTGGACACTCAACTGACGGAGCTACCCAGGCACCCCCTGCTTCCTTTATTTTTAAACTGTATTCCTTGTAGGTCTTGCATTAGTATGCAAGGGTGTTTATTTTTTTTTTCTCTCCAAATTAAATTCTACTTAGTTAATATATAGTGTAATATGTTTAGGTTTTACTTTGATTCATTTTCATTTCATATTCTCAAAACAGCAAATTCCAAAACGTGCACTGTACTAACAAAAGCATTAGTCCACGTGTGATCATTTTAGTGGACAAAGAAGAAAGACTGTCAATTAAAACATTACTGCTAGTGAAATTCTATCATTTTTTTTTGTTAATTTAAAGATTTGATTTGTCAGAGAGAGAGAGCATGCATAAGCAGGGGGAATGGCAGGAACAGGGAGCAGCAGAGGCACCCCGCTGAGCAAGGAGCCCAAAGCAGGGCTCCATCTCAGGACCCCCGGGGATCATGATCTGAGCCAAAGGCAGACGCTTAACTGACTGAGCCACCCAGGCATCCCTTATTTTATCATTTAAGAATCTCATCCTTCTGGTTCTTGAGGGTAACTTTTCCAGCAAAGTTACAAAGGCTCTGGTGTCTTTGTGTTATCATTTCCCCTTGTGAAATCTAGAGGAAGAAAGACTAACCTAGTCACTCCCAGAAGTTTTGCCCATATTTATCACTTATACAGATGTCCCACCAAATTCAGGTCAAAAGACCTTCCAAGTTTAAAACAGGCCTGAAAGAGGTCTTGAATTAAGTATTTTATAGCTGTAAATTTCAATATTAAACATTACCTAAATTATGTCATTTTATCTAATGAAAAGCAAATATGGTAATGAACTTATAAATCAGCATCCTCTGTAGTTAGAAATGAGATTTCGATAGAATAATGGATGAACATGCACAAAAAGCACTATTCAGAAAAGCAGTACCTGTTTCTTTAGATATCTTTTTCAGCCTTTGGTATCCTGGTAAGGATAATTTTACCTTCTCCTAATCAAATCATAATGTCTTTATTATTATCTCTACGGTTAGAGAATTCCATAGCACAAATATGAAAACATTTCTACATATATCGCAACTTCATTTCTTAAGGTTTGTAATTATGGGTTTGCTATTTCCAATAGATCACCCTTTCTCTGGCCAATGGGACAAAATAAGGTGTTAGTGAAGCCCTCACAGAGCCTTGTAAGCCTTTGGTCTTATATAGGATTAGTTGGCAGACCGCATCTTGACCTGACCTCTTCGAAGACATCAGGTGAGTGTGTGTGCGGGTACTCTACAAGCAGTGTATCAGCAAAAACTGGGTAAAAAAGATCATCCTATTTGAAACTGCAGGATGTAATAGAAGGTTAAGATCGTCAAGTTGTTCATACAGTTTCCCTCCAGTTCAGATGACACCTCTGAAATCTCCAGAGCAGCTAAGAAGGCTTCCAACAATTCATTCTGCAGGGCCATGCATCGCTTACTCTTTTAAATGTTAGCCGGTAGGTTTAAATAGCACAAAATAGGTGGTTTATACATGCCCCCCCCAAAAGAAGAAAATATCTCCTCTTTTGCTAGCTATTTCATTTAAATTATCTTAGTGACTTGTTCAGCAGTGGAGTTTTGATCAAATACACAATTTAAATGGAGCAAATGCTCCTGAAAGTTTAGTATTTATGACTTTTTTAAGAGTTCGGAGAGCGGTAGTTACCTGTGAATTAGCTTATGACCCAACAGAAAATGGAAGGCCAGTTATATTTTCACACTATATTAATCAACTGTTTCGAGCAAGGCCAGCCCAAACAAACCATACATAAATTATCAGAATGCTGCTATATATATATCCTGAAGTTGAATATTCTGTGGTTTCTTAGTAAACTATATTGCTCTGTTGGGTTATAGAATAAAAGAGGAGGGTGAACAAAAAAATAACAATATTTAGTTACCCTGTCTTATCTCCCCAGACAACACAATCTCTATACCAAGCTAACCAAGAAATTACTCCCTTGGAAGCAAATCCAGAATTCCAAAACACTTTTGTAAATAGCAAAGAATTAATTTACTAGTAGAGTTTGATAGAAAAATCCTTTAATCAAAACAAGTTTACAATGTTGACACTTATGGCTTAACTAGAGTAAGTCCAAATTTAAATTGTATTAAGGACCAGATATAATGTAGTATCAATAGTTACCTCAAAACAGTAGGTCCCAGTTCCATTGTAAGACCTCTCAAAAAGCAAAACTCCAATTACTGAAATAATTCAAACTATCCATTTATAGGTGAAAACCATTATCTGAGAGGTCCAAACATACAATGCATGTCACATGCAAACACTGGTATTAAGCCTGTTCTCCGTATTCATATTTTCAAAACATAAGTCTTTTAGCTACTGAAACCACCAACTGACCTAATAATCAAAATATCTTAAAAATGCTGTTAAGTTACCCTTAAATTTTGTTAACCTTGGTTTACCCTGATTTAGTCCATATATATGAATATACAGACTACCAAAATACTCCTTTACTTTAACTGCCTCGGAGCAACATACATATTTTCTACTTACAATTCTGTCACATGGAGGATCTCTAAGAACCCCTTCTGATAGAGCCATGTTTCCAAATAGGTTAGTTTTACTTATATAGCATTTACTTCTATTTACCGCATAAGAATCACGGAATTTTTTTTCCCAATTAAAAAAATACTTTGACTTCCTTAATGACTGACTTTTTAAAAATTCAGAAACGCGAGACAGTTCTCAAAAATAAACTTTTATCATTTAGTTTTTAGTTTCAGCTACTAGTGCCTGTAAAGGATCTCAGATGGTTGAACCCTAAAGCCAGAGTCATTCCTAAACATACCCCTTCTGCTTTCTGTAGAAAAGTCACATGACCTCACTGAATTCCCAGCCATAAATCTGAGTTACTTTCAAAAGTTAACATGAGTTTTGTACCTTGTAGAACTGTCAGTTGGAATCTCTAGTTGTCATACAAAAAGGCATACAGACCACAAATTGTTACAAAGCAGCAGGATAATGTAGCACAATGTAGACTGTGAGATTAAAATTAACTTTTGATAAAAGGAGTGAGTACTTGTATAGAAGTAACATTTTATCTACCATAAAAATGCGTAACTTCTACAAAACCCACAAACAGTGAAAAGACAGTCTGGTAAATCCAAGGTTTGTAAAAACTATGCACAAAACCCACAGTATTTGGGAAAAGAGGAAAGGTTTATACAAGTAGCAGTTTTAAAAATGTAACTTTTTTCTACTATCAATTACACATTAACATACACACGCTAATTGAAATTATGCTACAACCAAATGTCTGGAAAAGCAGTTTAACATTTCCTAAATGGGTTTTCCCTCACATTTACTGAATAATGTAGCTGTTAATACTGCACAAGTACAATTAGCAATAATGTTTAATTACTTTTAAACAAATATAAAGGGATTTTTCTCCCTCAAAACAAGTTTTCAACATCAAAACCTATGCTTATAAAAATTTAAAACTTTCAGCAGTCTAAATATTTCAAATGAAAACCATTACAAACTCTTCAAATGTTCTTTATATTCCAGGTATGTCAACCTAATTATCTAGTGTAGAATCCTTCAGAGATATTTCAGGCTCTCTCTCTTCACTGGATGGCCTAAAGGAAGGAAAGAAAGGTGTGTCAACTGGGATTAGGGGCTTTTCTCCTTCATGAGGGTCAGAAAACACATTAAATCCGTGCATTTTTATTTTTA